ATCGCCTCATAGAGCATCGCCAGGACCTCCAGCCCTAGGTCGCTCAAGCATGCGAAGTGCCTGGGGTGGTAGCCGTCGAGCGACTGCGAAGTGTAGCGGCTAAAAGAGCGCGATGCTGCTCGTATCTCCGACGGGCTCGCGCGTGGGAAACAATCTCGATTCGGTATCCAGGCCGACGGTGGAGACATACTGGCATTCCAGAACTCGCCTAGCTTGATGGTCTCGGAGGCCAAAAGGCTCTGGGGGTCCGATGTGAAGATCCCTGGGGAGCGCTCAACGATAGTGGGCTGCCACTTTCTCTGAACCTTCGTGAACCTATGCATGAGTCTCGCAGAGCCTGCAAGCGACTTATCCTGCCATGCGTCCCAAGAGTCGCGTGAAAGTTTGTCGCCATTGTTGATGGCCTCTTCATAGTCGGCCTGGATATCTTCCAAAAACTGGGTGGCTCGATCGCGCCACGACTGCTCCGAGGGTCGGTCTGCACTCCATGCTATCGCTATCTCGCGCATGGCGCGCAAGGTGGCGTCTAGCCTTGGATTCAAACCTTCGCCTGGGCAGGAGTGTTGCAGCACAACCTGGAGGTGCTGGCAAGCATACAGGTCGCAATCCTCAGCGGCGACCGAGTTAAACATCTCAGTGAAAGTCTGAAAAACCCATTTCCAACCTGCGATAACCTGGAGAGTATCATCTGGGTTCTTCGGGCGGTAGAAAACTGAAACCCAAGAGGCCTTGATCGTTCTGCTCCTTTCTCCTAAATCTTTGGCCTCCGTGCCTAAAACTCTGTGCAGCTCCACCTCGGCACAGTCGACAAAGTGACCCCAGGCATTCGACAGCACTGCCCAGGCCTCTGTTGCAGCAGCATGCATACTGGTGGCGATCGCGTGCGCCGCGTGCATCATGGCACCGTTCCACTCGACAGGTGACGGAGACGGTCCGAAAGGCGGATCGACTGGCAGACGTTGGTGAGTGCGGTATACAAGCTGCTTTAAACGGAGTGTGTCACCTCGGAACTCAACGCGAACAGGACGGTGAGGTTTTACTTCCCAGGAGGTGTCCGCCGATACCAGGGTAACCAGATGGGCGATCCCAGGACCCATCACAAAATAGTCAATCACACTGTTCGAAGTCGGGGAGCGACAGGTGAACGCCCGCGGTGACAGGATGAGCATACCTAGCTTCCGAGGGAATCCAGATGCTTCCAGGACCTCAGGACTCATATTCCAATCTCCTCCCAAGATCGTGTGCGTCGGGTCGGTGATCGACTGACCTATCGACTTCAAAATCCCCAGGTTGGCCTCGCTAAGGCCCTCAGCGGACCGCATATAAACCGAGTAAAGCGACAAAACAGGCCACCCAGGGAACTCAATCAAGACCTTGACGACTCTGTGGGCACATATGCACCCGTTGCCTTCAGCGGGCCATCGAAGTCCCACTGCTAGTCGTGCGAATACTGCTACTCCCGATGATAACTTCCCAGACTCAGCATTGATACGAGCAGGAAGAATGAGAGAGTGCCAGCCGAGCGAGCGAGCTGCAGCTGTGGCCTGACCGACGAACTCCTCGCTGATGCCAACCTCTTGGGCACACAGCACGACAGCGTCCGTCTCGGCCAAACGTCGGCGCAGAGTGCGCCAGCATGAGCCGTTGAACGACTCCAAAAAATGCTTGCGAACGTCACTATCTGTCGGTGATCTATCGGGCGCCCCCTTCAGCGGGGGAACTGGAACACCTGAGGTGGATAGTGGAACCCCTGAGAGCAAAGGTACTGCTAAGCCCAACATAGTGTCACCCACACTTTTGCTTCTTAGCTTTGACCCCCATCTCTCGAAGGAGATTGGCGAAAACTTCGGCATGATCCTCCTCCTCTTTCCGTGCGGCCGAAAGAAGTAGCTGAATCTTTTCTCCTTCCAAATCCTCCAAGTCCATATCTTCAGGGACGGGTATGCTTTGGTGGGAAGCCCCTCCTCCCTCAGTGGCGGGGGAAGGTGGGGCAGTGGGAGTAGCAGGTGCAGGCCCCGAGGCCTCCTGCTTGACCTTGTGCTGCGCCCGCAGCAGCTCCTGGAACTTGATGAAACACGGTGAGGCGACCATCTGCTGCACCTCATCGGGGGCGGAGGCGAGGATGTCAGGGTGGAGCTCAAACTTGGGCTCCGTGGACGGGTCCTGTGACGGAGCCACCTCCTGCACCATGCTGCGCAGCTCCACCTGGTACGCCGAGATCTCGACCTGTGTGGCCCTGATCTTCTCGCGCTGCAGTTGAAGGCGCTCCTGAGCCTCCTTGACAGCCTTCTCCTGCTCGACCATCTCCTCCTGCAGCTTGGACAACTTCTGCTGGGAGCGCGCCAACTTGTGGCCGAGGGTGTTGTGCCTGGTGACGGCAGGCTTGCGATCCGTGATCGACTTGCGCACAGCCAGCAGCTCAGACTCCATCTGCGACTGCACCGCTGAGTCGCCGAGGGCCGTGCACTTCTTGATTGCGCCGAGGGCCTCCTCAAGGGCGTCGGCCTTGGCGCGGATGGCTGCGAGCTCGGCATCGCCGTCAGCAGCGTCGTCGCCGCCAGGGCCGGCAGCCGCAGGGGGCTTGCGGCCGCCCGCATCACCTCCCGCACCGCGTTGGCCTCCACCTCCATTGGATGTGAGGGCGGCCACCTGCTTGGTGAGGGCCTCCAGCTGCTTCTCCAACTTCGACGAGGACGAAGGAGGTCCGCCAGCCCATGCACCGCGAGGACGAGCGCCACCATCACGAGGGGCAGGCACAGGACCTTGCGCTCTGGCCTTGGCCGCCGCCGACTTGGCGCGCTGCGTGATCGCCTGGGGCGCTGGCTTGCCGCAGGCGCAGCGGATGCGGGACGCCCAGTTCTGGTTGCGCCCGCAGCCAGGGCATCCCCAGGTGGGGAAGCGCGGGCCCGCGAGCACGTCATCGACATCGCGTCCCATGGGAGGGCTGCCTCCGCCTGAGACGTAAGATTGCTCCCACAGGAGCTCACTGAAAGCGTGAGGGTTGAGGTCCCTCGAACTGAAGGGAAACAAGCCACAATGACTCGCGAGAGCGACTGCCGCTCTGAAGACTGCTCTCGCAAGCCCAGAAAAAATCTGGGCCAGAACGGCTGAGGAGGAGGAGGAGGAGGAGGAGGAGGAGGAGGAGGAGGAGGAGGTGCCCCTGAGGCGGCGGAAGGATCTGACAGGTGGAGCGCGCGGAGCAAGCGGCGGCGCATGCTTGGCGCGAGGCAGGCAGGCGCCCCGTCCACCCCCGCGCCGCGCCCGCCCGTAGGCCCCCTCCCTGGCTTGGGGTGGGAGGGTACGTCGGCGAGTCGGCGACGCAGCCCAGGCATCCGACGTCTGGAAACCAGCAGGGCGGAGTCTGCTCGTCCCTCTGGGCCCCCGGGAGGCCCGCGCTGGGCCCCTGGACCCTCAGCACAGCCATTCAGCACGACAACGCTGGCCCCGGGGGAAGGGGTCGGGCCTTCGGGGCGCCCCGTGCTGCACAAGCCCGGGCAGCTCATCCCCAGGAGGCCGTGGACCTCTCGCTCCTGCCCCAACACCCCCGCTCCTGCTCCGCCAAGCCTCTCGGGACGGACGAAAGGGGGGGATTGGGAAGGGGTGAGTTACGGAATTTGCTGCATGCAGCTGGTTTCGGCCCCACCGAGGGGCCCATTCCTCGACACATGGCCGCTTCCGGCGCCGGGAGGCGCCGGGAAAATCAGCTACGCGAGCTGATTCTCAACCCCCCCCTTTGCTATCCCCCCCTTTCGCCCGGCCCGAGCCTCACCGCCCCTCACGTGAGGCTGCGCGTGCGAGCTGGACCGACCTGTGAGTGCCCCCTGGCCCGAGACCGGGCGACGGCGCCCGCGCGAGCACGTGCCCCGCTTCGCCGCAGCCGCTCCGAAGCGACTCGACTTCGAGGACCGCCATGTCGATTCGACTCCGAACTCCGAAGCCCGACTTCGGTCGGGGCTTCTTCGTGAGGCCTCGGCCCGCTTCGAACCGACTCGACTTCGAGGACCGCGATGCCGATTCGACTCCGAACGCCGAAGCCCGACTTCGGTCGGGGCTTCTTCGTGAGGCCTCGGCCCGGGCCGCCAGGCCTGGATGTCGATGCCTTCCGATCTGCCCGCTGCTGTCTGCCGAGGGGTCGGCGCTCTTCGACTGCCGACTCGAGTCTCCGATTCGACCTCGGGTCTCCCTGGGGAGGGGAGGGGCGGGAGCAGCAGGAGCAGGATCCTAGACCTTCCAGGAGGGCTAAAAAATAGCACCCGACTTAAAAACCTATCCCAGAGCTGTTTTAGGCTGTTTCGCTCAGCTTTTTAGGTTTTTAGGTTTCCAGTGCTAAAAAATAGCTCTCTGGAAGGTCAGGGACGCTGTCCCCCAGGACCTGGCCCTGCGGGGCAGACCGCAGCCGGGCGGGGAAAAAGAGGGAGGGCCGGACGCGTGACCCGCCAGCCGGGGCAAGCGCGCAGGAGGCCGCAGGCCAGGCAGGGAGCATCGGGCGGGGCTATTAGGACGAGGATACATCCGCTCCAGAGCGTTCCAGAACGCCCTCGGGGCGTTCCAGGACGTTCCGGGAAGGCCGCGGCGCCCGAGACATCCTCCAGGGCCGCCGGACGGCAGAGATGCTCGGCGTATCTCCTCGCCCGATGGTTTGCGCCGTCGGGACGCCGGGTTTAGATCCTCGCTCCGTCTTCGGGCAGGATGGGCAGCATCTGTACAATCGGGGCCCTGAAGAAGGAACCCTTCTCGTTGGGGAGGGGCTCGGTGTTCCTTGCTTGTTCTGCAGTGTACCTTTGGTTCTCTTGAGGTTTCCCATGGGAAATCGAAGTTCAACTTGTGGGAGAAAGGGGCCTCGTTCCTTATTTAGGGTTTCTTAGGTCAACGCCCCGACTGTATCCTCGCCCGATGCTTCTCCTCGCCGTGGCTCCACCTCAGGGCAGGGCGGGCAGCGAGCCGGAGCAGCAGCAGGCGGCGGGAGAGAAGCGGGCGGCCCGCTGCGCTCGGCTCCGGAGGGCCGCGGCGCCGCGTGCCTCGGGGGGGGGGGGGCGCCGCTCCTCCGCATAGCCGGCGCTGCGCGGGGCGCCTCGCGGCGGAGCGCCGCGAGAGGTTCGCCGTGGGCGGCCGCCCCCCCGCGAGGAGCGTCCGGGGGAGCGGCGTGGCGCGAGGAGACTGCCCCGGGGCGGCCGTGAGGAGGAGGGGAGAGGGGGGGGGAGGTGGAGGAGCGGGAGGGATGAGGAGGGGGAGGGAGGAGGAGGAGGAGGGATGAGGAGGAGGAGGAGGAAGAAAGGAGGAGGAGGAGGAGAAGGACGAGGAGGAGGAGGAGGAGGAGGAGGAGGAGGAGGAGGAGGGTAAGGCTCTGCATTGGCGCCGCCGCGTCAGTAGCACAGGCGGGCACAACAGCAGAGGGGGGCCAATTGGGCCTCCCTCGAAGCTCCAATCGCACACCAGCCCAGCCGAGGGATCGCGGCCAGGGTGCGGAGCACAAAATTGTTATGTAGGTATGGAATGTGAAACGGGCCGCCAAGCACTACGGGGTTTCGTGCGCAACAGGCCCTGGGTAGCTGGGCTCCACGAGGAGCCGCAGCCAGTGAACTTCGGGATCCGTGGCCTGCAAAGGCCTGGGCACCGACAAAAACACGACATCCATCCCGCCCTTCATCGGCAGGGTGGCGGCCAGAAAGACAAAGTTTCCGATTGCGGGCAGCCCTATCAGAAATGCGATTCTCATCCGCGTCGCAATTTACAAGAAGGTGACCCGCAGCTCCCGTGGAATAAAATCCGCAAGACACGCATAGGACGCAAGACCCTGGCGCAACCCACAATCTGTGGCCTCGGGCGGCCACAGCGGGCACGATGCCCGTCCTGGGGACGAGGGCGGCAGGGATAGTGGAATCAGCCTCCTTGGGCCGATCGTTTCGGCCGATCCCCGTGCGTTGTCTCTTGCGGTCGGGGAGAAAGGCGGGCCCTTCACGCGGACGGATCGCCGAGGGGTCGACCTCACCACGACGAGGTGGAGCGCCTTCCCTGGAGCTGATTCGCTGCGTGGCAGCAGCGGGCTCGGAACTATCAGCCGCGAAAGTGGCAACAACCGGAGAGAAGGTGACACGCTGCCGCTGGGACGGCGGCTCCTCCAATGAGCTGGCAGACTTCCCTGCTTCCTCCCCCCTGTGTCCCTGGCCCTGGAGTCCCCAGGAGCCAGGCCCGAGAGCTTGGCATCGCTCGGACGTGTGCGTTTGTCCTTCGGCGAGGACCATCGAGGAGCATCCCTGATCATTTGGCGAAACAACCACGCGCGAAACCGAAAAAAACACAGGGAATGGACGTCCGAGCGATGGCCAGAGAGGACAGGAAGGTCCGTGGGGGCCCGAGCGTGGCCCACAGCCTCGTCGAGCGAGGCTGCGGGCGGCGGCTCTCCCCCACGTGCCTTTTGATCCTTGGGAGGCACCGGCCCAGACCGAACCACGGAGAGCCCAGACGGAGGGGAGGCGTCGGGCGCTGCTGGCGCCGCCTGGTGCAATCTCGCATCGCGCGTGGTGGCCATGAGCATGCGCCTGGGTCGCTCGGTCCTCACGCCCTTGTTACGGTAGGTGCAGCGAACGAACCTTGGCATCGCTCGGACGTGTTTTTCCTCCGGCGAGAACCATCGAGGAGCATCCTTGATCATTTGGCGAAAAAACCATGCACGAAACCGAACAAAAAAACAGGGAATGGACGTCCGAGCGATGGCGAGGAACCCGCTGCCCCCAGGGAAGTGGTGGCGCAGGTGAGGAGGAGGAGGAGGAGGGGTGGCCACCTGACTGGCTCGCCGACGGCGTCAAGCACGCTTGGCACGAGCTCGCGCCTCGGCCCTCCCAAAACTGACATGATGCAAATGCGCTGGCACGATCCAGTACAACACTCGGCGCGTGGAGCGGAGAGCCAGGCTCATCGCTCGAATCTGAGAACGGGAGGGGGCATGCAAATCTCTCCCAGATCTAGCCGCGAGGTCGGCCCATCTGTTGGCCATCGCACTGATCGAGTCGCCCCTCTGGTGGTCACGAACATGTGAAACCTGGAGGGCCTCTCCAAGGCCGCCGTGATCATCGATTTTGCTCCAGATCCGAACCCATCAATCGGCATTCGGCCGTCTGGGGCCCGTGGTATACCTGGGGCCCCAGACCAAACCTTCGACGAGCCCCCATGTACTCCGTATGTACATGCACAGGGGTGATACACACATCTAGGACGTTCAGGAACGCATCGAGCTCAGCCCGTGGTGAGCTCTGAATGGGACCTGGCAGGGCGCCGAACACCATGCGCTCTATCGAGGACGTGTATTTGACCAACCCCCACCCCGCACGCGACGCCTCGGGCCAGAACCACGCCTTCCTGCAGGCGCCGTCTGTGTAGATGTCGCCAGTGACATGCCCCAATGTTCCGTAGCGAACGTGCCATCGGTCACTGTCGTCTCGAGGCTGCAGCACAGGGAAGCAAGAGAGAGACGGTAACCCGCGAGTCCAAAATCACGAACCGTGGGATCTCGCAGGGAAGCCTCGCAAGTCGTCATCGCCTAAAGCGGCCTGCCGCTGCTGTTCACGACCCGAGCATTCCCATGTGAGATGATATGGGGAACAATACTCATGATCACAGCATGGGCACTTGGAGGTCTTCGCGTACCCGTGCTTGTAGAGCCGGCTGGGGGCCCAGAATCCTCCACTCACAATCGTTCTCAGCATGGCGCGTTCGGTGTAGGTGGGGGTCCAAGTCCGGGCCTCTGGAGCTACCACGTCGGCTTCAAGCTCACTGGCGTCGCTGGCGTCGTCGGGGACATCAGGGGCTTGGTGGAGCAGCTTCAACACGGGCTCAATCCAGTAGCCAATGGGTTCCTTGGGGTCCCTCCCGTCGTCGGTGGGGTTGCGACGCGCGGCCCACTGGGCCCACAACTTACGAACAGCAGCAGCTCTCGCCAATTCCCGCACTGATCGGCGCATCGGTGCGGAAGTCGAACATGTCACCTAAATGCGCGACCACGACAAAGGCCGAGACGGACCTCCATCCCATTGCACGAAGGGAGAGCAACATCGCTCCCGTAGTGCCTGTGACTTGCTCTCACGGCTTCGTGGAGCGAAGTACTCGGAAGATCTGTTTCTGCTATAAGCTTTCTGCAGCGCGTCGTGAGAGATGCACGGATCCCGAACCGGAAGGGCCCATTGGTAGACGGGTCGGGCCCAACAATGGATTTGCGGATCATCTCCCATGGAGGCGCTTTGAACGCACGCCGACAACCAAGCCGAGGTAGTGGCCCCTGGAGTGTACCACGTGCCTCTCATGACGACTCGCATCTGCTGGACAAGCGAAGGTGGTGTCCCATGCACTCCTGCCCCATGCTGCATAGCGGACGGTAATGCCTGTCTGGAGAAGCGGGAGACCTGGGAGACCAGAGCACCAGCTTGCTTAATGACCGATAACCTGGGCATCCGAGTTCGCGTCTTGGCGATGCGAGAACGCAACCTGGTGAATTTCAGGCGACGTCCAGCAGCAACTTCAATCCCCAAGACTTCCATGGCTGACGAGTATCTGTGCCCAAGGTGTCGGAGACGACGAACGACTTGCTTCCCAAAGTGCGACGACGTCGAGGTTATCGTCATCCTGTGCTTGGCTGGGGCGAGGTCCATGGTCTCCAGAGTCGACACGAGCGACGACAGAACGGCGACGGCCGACTCGACGATCCTACGTTGGGAGTCCACGATGGCAATCGTAAAATCGTCACCGTACAAGTCTGTGGTCCTGAGGATGGGATCTGTGCTGGCGTACACTACGTCGAAAGGCTCCAGCATCACACATCTCAAACAGAACACGGCCATAGGGCAACCAGGTGGTAGTACTCCTCTGGCCGCCCATGTCGAAAAGTGCGTCGATGGGATCCCTTGGCGGTTGCCGGCGTCGGTGGCGGCAAGGCACCACGTCCCTGCTCGGCTACTTGTCCTAGCCGCTCCAGATGTACAGGCCGCCGCGCAGGATCGCGTGGGATGCGTCATTCTCTGGGGAGGAGGAGGAGGAGGAGGAGGAGGAGCAGGAGGAGGAGGAGGATGAGTAGGAGGAGCAGGAGGAGGAGGACCAGTGTAAACCAAGAGTCATCAACGATGTTGGAGTAAACCCTGCCTCCAAGCTCCCTCTTCATAGGCTCCTGCAACGGTTCATTTCCATTGGTGGAACTACCTCGTTGGAAGACACCCGTTTGAAGACCCTGCCGCATGCAAAGACATGGTTCTCGGGATTCCAACGCCACGGATTAACTTGACTGTTGCGTCTTGACGATCCTGAATCATGCCAGAACGCCGTTCTTAGGACCTCAACCAAGAGAATGAATGTAACTTTTGCACCCGCATAATCCTGAACCCTTCCAAAACATAGTTTCTAGTACGTTGATGATGGGAATCCGCAAACTGTTTAACACTTGTGTAAACGAATGCCCGCGGCGCTAAAACGAGAGCCACGTGTTGAAAAGGAGCCATCTTCAATCAGTGAAATTCTTGCAAATGTTTAAAGCGAATGTGCGCCTCGCTAAGGCGAGCGCCACATGTTGAAAACCACCCGCCCTCAATCCGCGAAGCTCTTGCATGTTTGTTTAACGAATGTGCGCCGCGCCCACATTATGAAAACCCTCAATCCGTGAAGCTCTTTGCGCATGTTTAAAACGAATGTGCGCGGCGTTGAGGCGAGAGCCACGTTTTGAAAACGACCCGCCCTCAATCCGTAAAACTCTTGCGTTCGGTTTTTCACGAATGTTCGCTGCGCAAAGGCGAGGGCCACATTTTGAACACCACCAGCCCTCCATCTGTGAAACTGTTGCCAATGTTTAAACTTCAGAGTCATTAGTGGTGAGGAAGTCTCAGGCGAAACGCCCAGCCCGCCCTAAAAACTGGCCTCGGGGTGCGACAGGGAGAAGTTATTTGTAAGGAGAAGGAATAGCCGAGGAGAGGGAGTTAGGAGGAGGAGGATGAGGAGTTAGGAGCTAGGAGCTAGGATGGGGAAGAGGAGGAGGAGGAGGAGGAGGAGGAGGAGGAGGAGGAGGAGGAGGAGGAGAGGAGGGGGAGCAGGAGGAGGAGGAGGGCGACGACGACGACGACGACGACGACGATCATGACGACGACGACGACGACGACGACGACGACGACGACGACGAGCAGGAGGGAGGGAGGAGGATTAGGAGGAGGAGGAGGAGGAGGATGTGGGTGCGAAGGATGGCCTAGGGCGGAGGAGGAGGAGGAGAGGGTTGGTGGCGGAGATGGGCTGGGCGAGGAGGAGGAGGAGGAGAAGGAGGTGGAGAAGGAGGACGGGGAGGAGGAAAGAGGAACGAGGGAAGAGGGAAGAGGGAGGAGGAGGAGGAGGAGGAGGAGGAGGAGGAGGAGGAGGAGGAGGAGGAGGAGCGCCGTCGGCGGCTGCGCCGACACCGTGGTCGCCGTCGCCGTCGCTGTCGTCGTCGACGCCGTCGTCGTCGGCCCGGTCGAGGAGGGAGGTGCCCCGCGCGGGCAGATGTCGCAGGCGGAGCCCGAGCCCTCCACGGAGAGGCCTCGGGGGCGCGCAGGGAGGGGATAGGGGCTCGAGAATCTGTGCTGCCTTCGGGGGAGGGTGCTCCTGGTGGGTCCTCGCGGCCACGGCAGGACTCGGCTCGAGGGCTGCCCGGTCTGCACCTCACCCGGGGGCTGCTGGGGGGTCCGCGTGGCCGCGGCGGGTCGCGGCCCGGAGAGCTGGCCAGGGTGGACCCCGGGAGGGGGCCGTGCAGGGGCCCATTTTGAGCCGATGTGGGCGGGGTGGGCGGGGCGAGGACCTTGACGTGCTGGCGTCTCAAATTGTTCCAGCCGGGCGTTGTCGCCCAGCTCCGGGCTCGGCTCGAAAGGTGGCGCAGAAAGATGGGGTCCAGGGCTCCAGTTGTGATGTCTCCTTCTGCTGTTTCTGCTCGCGCCGTCGGCTCTCAGGGTCTCTCCCTCTTGCCAGCGCGAGGGGGCCCGCGATTGCCACTGCTCACGCCCTCGCCACCTCGCGGCTTCCTGAGGCGGCGTGGGGCTTCTCAGTGATCCTTTCGCCTGTTCGTGGAGCCTTCTTGGAGCCAGGGGAGCTCATTGGCAACGACAGGGGTGGATAGGCATATGGGGAAGGGCAGATGGGGGAGACGCATCGAACCCAATCGCCCACTGATCGACGGTGGGGGCCCGATAGCCCGGACCTGTCCAAGAACGTGCGGGTTCTTTGCTGGAGCTCGGGTTGGCCGCCGCTTCCTGGTGGCCCCGGCGCGACATCTGACAGTCCAGTAATCCGTGAGGTACTTGCAGCGGGAGCTCGCGTCATAGTTCAGCCTAGGTCCCGCCGTTGTTTCGGACTGCTCCGTCCAGCAAGCTCGAGCCCCAAACACTCTCGCCTCCCCCACAGAACGCGATCGTTGTCTTATGCATTGTTCTGCCGATCGGCGCGGGCCCTCGCACCCCCCCCCCCATGGAGTAGATCTTGGCTGTTCTTTGGTGCCTGTTTCGAGCAGGTGGAGTCTCCCCCCACAGGACGCACGGTTGCAAACAGTCGCACGAAGCAGAGGTCCAGAGCCGAACCCCTCCTCTCCCCCCTCTCCGCCCAAGGTCGAAACGCCGAAGAAGAACACGCTCATCATAGAACCCTCCGGCCCCTTCTGGGAAGCCACCGTGCCTTCTCACCCTGATCTTCCAGAGAGCTATTTTTTTAGCACTGGAGGCCTAAACACCTCAACAACCACACGGAGCAGCCTAAAACCAAGACGCAGAATAGCTCTGGGGTCGGTTTTGTAAGTCGGGTGCCATTGTTTAGCCCTCCTGGAAGGTCAGGGTATCAGAGCCCCAAAATCATCCGGGGTAACTCGGGTCAGGGCTAACTCGGGTTCGTTTTTCGGGAATCCAGACCCGAGTTACCCCGGACCCGAGTTACCCCGGATAACTCGGGCGCCCAGAGCCCCAAAATCATCCGGGGCAACTCGGGTCAGGGCTAACTCGGGTTCGTTTTTCGGGATCCCGAACCCGAGTTACCCCGGACCCGAGCTACCCCGGATGATTCGGGCGCCCAGAGCCCCAAAATCATCAGGGGTATAACTCGGGTCAGGGCTAACTCGGGTTCGTTTTTCGGGAATCCAAACCCTGATGGTCCGCTACCGAAAATTTCCGGTAGCGCTCCGCAGAGATCGGTCGCTACCGAAATACCGAAATGCAGCGCCCAATACCGGTATCAGAGCGTTCCGAAATCCGCTATTTCAACGCCCTCAAACGAAGATCCGGTCGCTACCGAAATTCGGGGTGCGTCGAAATCGCTACCGAAAATTTCCGGCACCAGACCATCTGGGAACCCGAGTTACCCCGGACCCGAGCTACCCCGGACAACTCGGGCGCCCAAGGGCAGAAGGCCGCCGCCCCTCGCACCACCGGCCCCTCCCGCGAGCCGCCCCGGGAGGCCCGCGAAGCGGAGCTGCGCGGGGCGGGCGGGGCCCGCCGGCGCCCCCGCGGCGGACGCCATCGTGGTGCCCGGCGGGGGGCTCACGGAGGACCCTCGGGAGCCTCGAGACGGGGGTCAGTGCAGACGGGGGTCAGCCAGAGCGCCAGATCTTGCAGGATCCTGCAGCGCCAGGGTCGCATTGACCCGGGCTTGGGTGCAGGATCCTGCAGGATCCTGCAGGATCCTTCGCATTGACCCGGGTTTGGGTGCAGGATCTTGCAGGATTTTGCAGGCCTGATTGACCCGGGTCTGCATTGACCCAGGTCAGAAGATCCCCGAGACCCGGCGCCGAGGCGGTCGCTCTATGGCCTCCTGGATGGGGTCGGAGCAGATGGGGTCGGAGGATGGCGCCGCATCGCCGATGCATCGCCGATGCGGCTCGATGCGGAGCCCGATTTGCCTCACGCGGACGGCGCCGGTGCATCGCCGATGCATCGCCGATGCATCGCCGATGCGGCGCGACCCTCCGACCCCATCCACTCCGACCCCATCTAGGAGGCCTCTAGTCGCGTCCACGGTGCCCAATTAGGCCGCGGAGCCATCGGCCGGACGCAGGAGTGGCCCTCCGCCGGAGGGACCTCTGTCAGGAGGGGAAAAAACACACAGACACAATCAATCGTCGATCCCCAGGAAAATATGGGAAGTGGGGGGAAGACAGAAACCCAGAAACTATACGGAAATATGGGGAATCCTTTTATTTGTGTGTATTTATTTGTGTGTTTGTGGGCCCCTTCACTCTGGTGCGGGCGCAGCGGGGCCCCCCGATCGCCGAGCGGCGAGGCGGCAGCGGCGTCCTGCGTGCCCGTGTTTGGCCCCTCCGCGGCCCCCTCCCCAAAAGCCGCGCACCACAGGGCTCTCTCTTGCCCAGGGCCACTCCTGCGGGTGTAGCCGAAGCAGGCGGGTCCTGACGGAAGCAGATCCCATGGCTCTCGCGGCCTCGGGGCCCTCCCCACCGCCCCGGGGCCGTCCAGCGCAGACACTCTGGAGACAGAGGGCGCGTCCCCGGGGCAGGACCCGTCTCCCTCCCCTGACCTTCCAGGAGGGCTAAAAAATAGCACCCGACTTCAAAACCTATCCCAAAGCTATTCCACGTCTTGGTTTTAGGCTGTTTCGCTCAGCTTTTTAGGTTTTTAGGTCTCCAGTGCTAGAAATAGCTCTCTGGAAGGTCAGGGTCGGGACCCGCTTCCTTCGTGCCGAGCCTCGGGGCCGTGCCCCGGGCCCCGCGGGCCCCCGCGGGGGAGCGGCGGGCGACGGATGTGCTCGGCCCGACCCCCCTGCGGGCGGGGTGATATGCTCCCACCCATCGCCCCGCGGCGGCCCGGGGCAGGCGTCCCGAGGCCGTGGCTGCGGGCGCCTCCCGGCGGCGGCCTCTCCGGCAGGAGGGCGCGCCCGCGCCCTGGGTGCGGGAGAGGCTGCGGAGGGCGAAGGCGCTGTACGACGCCGCGCGGGCCTCCGGGGGCGCGCCCGCGGGCGGGCCCGTGATCGTCACCCTCAGCGCGGGCACCCCGCACAAGCCGTTCCCGCGGGACGAGCGCAGCGGGTACCAGGTGCTGGAGGCCGAGGCCAGCGCGCGGTACCTGGTGCGGGAGCTGGGCGTGCCGCCCGAGGACGTGCTCGAGGAGAACCTCAGCCTCGACACGATCGGCAACGCCTACTTCCTCCGGGTCATGCACACGGACGTGGTCGGGCTCAGGAGGTTGGCCGTCGTCACCAACGCCTTCCACATGCCCCGCACCAAGGCGATCTTCGAGGCGGTGTTCTCCCTGTCCGGCCCGGGGCAGGAAGCTGGGCGGGAGGAGGAGGAGGAGGAGGAGGAGGAGGAGGAGGAGGAGGAGGAAGAGGAGGATTGGAGGAGGAGAATTGGAGCAGGAGGATTGGAGGAGGAGGATTGGAGGATGAAGATTCGAGGAGGAGGATTGGAAAAGGCGGATTGGAGGAGGAGGAGGAGGAGGAGGAGGAGGATTGGAGGAGGAGGATTGGAGGAGGAGGAGGAGGAGGAGGAGGAGGAGGAGGAGGAAGAGGATTGGAGATTGGAGGGGGTCTGGAGGAGGAATGGAGGAGGAATGGAGGAGGAATGGAGGAGGAGGAAGAACGGAACGGAACGGAACGGAATAGAACGGAACGGAACGGAAAGGAACGGAACGGTCGTTCAGGCGATCTCCAAGCCCTTTCCCTTCATCGCGGGGCGGGCGAAGCCGTGGCCTCGCAGAATGGCCGGTGGGCGGCGAGCTCATTCAGAGAGCCGTCGTTGGGTAGGTATTGGGCAGGACGGGGAGGAGGAGGAGGAGGAGGAGGAGGAGGAGGAGGAGGAGGAGGAGGATCGTAAGGCGGCCCGAGGAGGAGAAGGAGGATGTGGCGGGTGCGGGGCCGAGGCAGGCGCCTCCGGGTACGACCTGTCGTTCGACGAGGTGCCGGACACGGGCGTGGAGGCGGAGGCGCTGGCCACGCGGCGGGCCCGCGAGATGGCGTCGCTGGAGGGCTTCCGCGTCAACGCCGCGGGCTGCCCGGGGGCGGGAGGAGGAGGAGGAGGAGGAGGAGGAGGAGGAGGAGGAGGAGGAGGAGGACCAGCAGCAGCAGCAGGAGGAGGAGGAGAAGGACCAGCAGCAGCAGGAGGAGGAGGAGGAGGCGGAGGCGGAGGCGGAGGCAGAGGCGGAGGAGGAGGAGGAGGCGGCAGAGGAGGAGGAAGAGGAGGAGGAGGAGATTGAGGAGGAGGGGGGGGGAGGCGCAGCGGCGCACTCGCCCGCGGAGGCCCGGCAACAGCGGGCAACAGGTCCATGGCCAAGGCCTCGCGTTCCGGATGCCGCGGCCGCGGCCCCGTGGATGTGCAGGGCGGCCTTGCGCGGATGCCCCGCACGGAGCGCATCACATGGTTGCGGACATGTTCGTCGTTCGTGGGATCTCAGCGTCGTAGCGTCCACGAAGTTCTGTGAATCCAGGTCTCCTGCACCCCTCGCTCGCTCACGCTCGCCCAGTCTGTGAATCCAGGCATGGGGCTGGAACAGATGGATCGGCGGTGCTGTGCGATGTTGGGGCCCTGGCCCCGTCCATGATCTAAGAGGCCTCGCCTCCATGAATGCAGCTCAGTCTCCAAGGCTGAGTCTCGAAATCCAAAGGAGGAGCATAATAGAAGGGCTCGAGGAGCCTGGCTCAGCTTCCAAGGCCCTCCCTTTTTACAACGACTGCAACAATAAGCAAAAACTCTATCTCTCAGCTCCTCATCTACGAGGGGGCTTTCCTAATCTAAGTTCCAAGTGATTTCGCCACGAGCAAACTTGACCAGGCTCATATTGGGCCCCAGGCCAGACCGACATGGCCTGAGCCAGGGGCGCCTGGAACTGCTTACGCAAGACGACAGATTTTCCTCTTGAGGCGCCAGCGGCGACAAGCGCGATTGGCGAGAGAGCATCGGCGCCGCCAGACGCACAACGTCTGGGCAAGATGCTTGCAGCAGCCGGGGGTGAGGTGAGATGTGTTCATGTTTGGTGCGAGCCGCATGCGGGGAGGGATGAGACCCGTGAGGCAACGCGCGACCTGTCAGTGACAATTCGTGACCAAAGCCCCTTCCCCTTAGAATCGTAACAGCGGCGGGCTTGGATGCCGCGGATCCGATGTCCGTCCGTCACGCGATTTATCTTAACAGTATGACTTTAACTTAGACAGGATTGGCATCGGATCTGTGTGACAACAAACACGGAAAGCAGATCCACAACATCCGAAATATAATCCACGCGGGGGGGAGTTGGATCCACCGCAACGCAAGTCCAAACCAAGTTGGATCCGCACCCACTCAATTAGATCTGGCAATGCTTAGTTCATGCGCGCTGGCGCAAGATCTGAAGGCATCTTGTCCGGGCCCAAGAGTAAAACATGTGTTTTTTGTTCCCCCTCGGGAATGTAAGACCAGGCTTGAGGCTTGGGCGGACCTGGCCAGGCTTGGTGACGGCGCATAGCTGCCAGTGCTCTTCTTGCTGCTCCTCCTCGTCCTCCCCACACTCCCCAGACATCCGATGCGTTTTTGTTTCTTGTCCAGACAGGGCCCCAGAAAGGGCCCGCCTTCCTGCCGCGCAGCTTGGGATCGCCCCAGATCCCCAGGAACTGGCCCTCGGATGCCGACCGTCCTGATCTCCTCCAGGACGCTGGGTGTCTGGGCCACCCCCCCCTCCCCTGACCTTCCAGGAGGGCTGAAAAGTGGCACCCGACTTTAACACCGATCCCAGAGCTATTCTACGTGGTGGTTTTAGGCTGTTTCGTTTAGTTTTTTTGGTTTTTAGGCCTCCAGTGCTAAAAAATACAGGCCTCGGAAAAATATAGAGAACACTCATGCCGCATTCATCTGTGAACGCCTCTCCCTCCCCCCAGTGTCAAAATCTGGCGGTGGGTCTGGTGAGCTGCACATCGACCGCAGTCTCCCCCGCGCGTGCCAGCTTTGAGTTTGGGGCAGGGGGGGTGTTCACTACAGTCGGGGCCCTGAAGAAGGAACCCTTTTCGTTGGGGAGGGGCTCCGCGTTGCTTAAGTGTTTCGCAGCTTGCCTCAGGTTTTCC